TAATAAGCTCGACAAATTTAACAATCGTAGAATGACATCAGTTTCAGATATCAACGCATTAGAGATTCCATAGAAGAAAATATGATCGTCCTTGAATCGTCCTTGACGCTTCCACGTATGGATCATTCCAAATGAAGTTCTAATGTCGCGTTTATCCTTGCGGTGCCCCATATGTCGATTTATTCCCATTCGATTATTTGTTCAACTCGAACAGGACACGCTGCGTGCGATCGTCGCGAAACGATTTTTGCTTCTTCGACCGAGAAAACTGTAATGATCGCAAAAAAACGGGCCGTCAGGTGATATTAACGAATTCAAAACGGACACGTTCGGATCTAAGATTGGTGACGAGTGTCACGTTACTTTGCAGTGCTTCGGAATGCAAAATCAACGCGCCAGCTTGGTCTTCCTTGCTTACGAAGGCCTCGGCTCCTAGCCGCACGTAATGTCGAAAGTCGAGATGCGAGGCTGTCCGATGGCAATCGATGGCAAGTTAGCAAAAAAATTCCGAATCGTGCGACAGTGCATTCGATGGCCGGTGTGTCGATGTCGGCTCTCCAACTTGGACGGTAACGAAGTAAAAGGACTTTAAAATTTGACGAAATTATGCTATCAAAATTATTTCATCTAAAACTGGATTATCAGTTCACTAGCCTGATACGTTCTTTTAATCGCTTAACAAAAATCTGACGAATCTCATTTTTCCAGATCAAATAAAAAAAAGTTTGCATACTGTATTAAAAAATTATTCACCTAAGTGAAAAGCACATATATTCAATAAACAAATATAATATCAATACCTCAAACATTCAAGTATGCGTTTAATGAAATATTTCTAGAAAATATTTGCACAATCTTTCCCTAATGCTTAACAATAACTAATTTAACAACGGAGGATTTACAGATCGACTCCCTAGATGATCCAAAGTTCTATTAGAACTCAATTCGAAGTTTTACATAGTAACATGAAACATACACGATCAAATTTTACAAACATATTCCGATTTCTCCTCCAGTTTCCACTTACCTCAACCGTTAGTTAATTAACTCAGCTAACCGAGGTTCCGGCGTATTCAACGGATTCCCCTTTTCCCTCGAAATCTCTCCTCGCTATTCCTTTTATCATTCGCTCTTAATCGAACGCGGGGATCGGATTTCGAGAGCCCCGTTTAACCTTTATTTACGGCCTTCGGCGTTAATGGGTAAGAATGCGAATAACTTACCGTGGCGAGAAAAGGAGCTGTCGGATTTGTCGCCGCGCGCAAGAGAATCCCGAATTTTTACGAAACCCGAACGGCACGCGGAACTTCGAAATCGCCGGCCGATTCTGCGGCTCTCGCCGACGGCTGCGTTCTAGCACGCCCGTCCGAAATTAATTCAAGATTATAATTTACAAACGGAAAGCTATAAATAGCGGGCAAACGATATTCTGATCGATCGCCGGCCTCTTCCAGTCGCACGATCGAAAAAGACCTCGCGATAAACCTTGGCCATTGGTAACATCAACGATGAACTTTACGACTTCCCTGAATTAACAAACTGTTCCTATAATTGGTAACCGGACCGTTGAAACGTTACTCGATGGACAGAATAGAAAAAAAAACATTTCAATTAATCACCAAGGATCACGAGTGAATCACAATTGAAGGATTACCAGTGAACCGTCATCACGAAACGGTGAAATTCGCATCTATCTTTGTGCTCTTGGTACCCTCGACTTGAAAAATGGCAGGAAACGTTGCAAATATCGAGGTAAGTGTTCAATATTAATTGTAATTGAATAACATATTGTAGATTTCGTATGAACGCAACGGAAAGTGGACTTCCATGAAGTTTAACACTAACTAACAAGCACTTAAACTGACTTTTCTAAATTTCTTTATAAAACTAACTGAAAAGAATTATAACTGCAACCTCTTCCATTATCTTTAATTAAACTCATTCAATTAATTTAGTTAAGAACTTTGTTCTGTAAAAACAAGAACCGCATTTGATGAATTACAAATAATCCCACTTCAAGATTTACTAAACAACAAAAGAGAAGATAAACAGAATAAAAGGCAATACGTCGCCAAGTGAAGAGTGGGAGATCTCCCCATTCGGTTGGCTAAGTGTTAAAATTATTTTTCGAGTTTAATATATTGTAAATTGACTTCTCGACTTTTCCAATAAGTTGAAATTTCCATCATTTTGACTCATCTGGTAGTTCTAGCGTTAACCCTAATCGTACCACGTGCTTTTATAACGAATCATTCCACGATGTGACTCTCAATCACTTGTGCGAATAAAAGGAATGATTAAAATGTTATTGTTTTTGTTTATAGGGCCCAAATTTCAAAAGCCCAAAAAAACTTTTGGAAATGCAATATCAGATAATAAAAAAATTTAAGTAAAAAGTTCAAATGTCACTCAAAGTCACATCGTGGTCCGATTAGGGTTAATGGAATTTTATATTATTCGCGACCTATATGACCTTTAACGTGGAAACACGAGTTATCAATCGGTTTCAGTTAGTGGAAAGGGCGAATTGAGAAATTGTATGTTTTTCGTAGCGAATTTGCTTTTCCCGGCGCCACGAGAGCATTCCCTCGCAGATGAGAGCAGAGACCGGTCGAATATCGTGTAACGTTAAACTCGTAGTCAATGGGCGATAAACGGTTATCTGCTTTTCGCGTTTCGTATCATCGTTGACCTTTCTTTCGTCGACGATGGCGAGCAACTTGTAACGAGAATACGAATTTTTAAAGTGTACTGGAAAAAAGGAGAAAACGTAGAAATACCAGAACAAAAATAGCGGGAATCCGAAACGAAGTTAACTCGACCACCTTGGATATCTTTCTTATGTTTGTACCGCGGGACGGACCGACTGACGAATATTAATCGGTTCGTGTCACCGGGGACTTAATAGTGACCTAACCTATTGCACACCGAAGTTTTTCGCTAGAAATGTTCAACATTTTCCGATAAGATATATAAGTGACATTCGTTGCAATTCAGTAATGATCGAAATATATATATGACTTTACAATTTTGTAAACAGATATATGACTTATAAATATATACATGATTTGTAAATATACATATGACTTTATAATTTTGTAAACATACTCAATGTTACAAACATTATTCGGCAACATTTACGTCGTTTTTGATTGAAGCAATTATACGAATATATATTCGAATTGCCTATTTGTAAACACCTAATTTCCAAGATCTAAATAAACGAACATCGATTGTCCTAGCAACAATAGGATAAGCTGTACAATAAACGCCTGTGAATCTAGTGTTAAGCAGCGTGGGTACAACTTACGGCCATCCAGACGCTAATCGTAACGTACAACCTGATTCTTCCAGCGTTCCCTTTTTTTCTTTTAAAATAACTATCTTCGAAGATAATTTTTATCGGGCTTCTAAGTTTAAATTTACTTTCTTGCTAATTAGGCGTCGCGGGACGGCTCTATAAAAAAAATCGATGAGCTAAGAATCAACGTCTATCTAAAGTTCTTCCCGTCGCAGATGTAAGAAACAAGTAATCTTATCATGTAAATCATAAGAGTGGATATTAATATCGAATGTTCTATTTATGTTTTCTACACGGACACTCGAAGACGAGAAAAAATAAAAATGGAACATTTCTACGGTTACGCGAACTGGAGCACGGAACGCTATGAAATTTCATTGCAAAATCGAAATAATGTAGATCGAGCGGGTAAATGATAAATTGTTTCGTGACAGTTGATCGCTTTTAATAATAGATGGTCCAACCGTGTGCTGGGAAGTGAACGCGAAACAACGCGAAATACGACAGCGCGAGATTGTTATCGAGATATAGCGGGGGGGATTGTCAATGTCAATGGTAGAAGGAACTTTTATGATTGCCTGCGCCTAGTCCCCGGCTAAAAATAAAGGAAAAATATGTATATATATTACATAAGGTCACTGTGCGATAACGAAGCACTCGTGTCTAACCTTCTTTTCGCGCGGGAGCCGAACAGCCGTTCTTAGATCGTTGACAAGAACCATTCGACGAGCACGAAACAGACGCATCGAATATTAGCCGAACAATCTTCCTTCAATTGCTAGACCTCGACAAGGATCTTCGTCGCTAAAAAGCTTGCAACCTTCACTCTAAACATTCAAACACTTCTTTTCAATGAAACCCAAGTTTCCTATAAAGCATATGTAAAAAACAACCCACAGTTTATTCAGTTATAACAAGATAAAAATTCTAATTCCACGAGTAGTCAATTAATGTTCCAAAATTTGTATGACGTTTCAAACTGTTCACAGAGAAAAGAAACCCAAATTTCCTTTAAAACATATACAAAAAACATACAATAGTCAATACAATTATAAAAAAATTAAGATTCTAATACCATGAATAGTCAATTCCAAAATTTGTATGACATTTCAAACTGTTCACAGAGAAAAGTAACCCAAGAAACCCAGGTTTCCTTTAAAACATGCAAAAAAAACACATAATACTCCATTCAATTATAACAACATAAAAATTTTAATTCCACAAACAGTCAATTAATACTCTCAAAATTCGTATAACATTTCGAACTATTCACAGAGAAAAGTACCTCTACGAATTATCAAGGGTTGATTCTACCCTTACACTAACATCCATACAACTCCTCAACAAAACCCAAAATATCCCACCGTTACAACACACCGCTACATTAAAAGAAACTAATGAACGAATAACCGTCAGTACCATCAAGGTGTTCATTCAGAAAACCCGGGAAACTAAACGTCTAACACTGGAAGATCCGCAGCATTCGCGAGCAAGCTCACTCGAGCGTTTCACTCTCGCTCGGGACAAGAACGTTCCCTCGCCTAGAGGAACATTTCAAAAATCGAGCACAGTCTGGCTCACCGGACAATTCGCTCAGGAAACACTCGGAGGAAGCCACTGTCACGGCGATCCCGAAGAACTCGCGCGGTCCACGTGTTTCCCGGTTAGCGTGGCAAGAGCGGCAGCCGCGTGAACCTACCTCTCGGATGTCGAATCCTTCAGGTCCCAGGGCCAGGGTGTTCTAATCGTTCCACCGGCTCGTCCTCCGTTGACCGGCGGCGATCGCGCGTCCCTTCGACCACGGGCAACCGAAACGGGACGCGGCACGCGGCGCGAACGACGCGGAACGCTACGAAAAACGAGAGGAAACGCGGAGCCGCACGGATCGCGGA